TCTGGAGCATTAAAACACTCTCTCGATCTGTATGTTAGGAATATATTTGTACATAGGGAAGGTCTACATTACCAGACACGTTCGCAACAAAAGCACTTTTAAAATACGTTATCACACCACGTGCTCTAGCAGAGGATAGAGCCAAGCGCATGTCATCCTAAAATATGGAACTGGGAGAACAGTTTAGAGCCACAACCAAGTTCCTTCCTCTACTACACCCTGGCAATTCTGCTCAAATCAAGAGGCAGAACTCAGCCTGTGATCCTCTCCTTTCACTACAGCTAGTTTTCTTCCTCTCTTGGGGATGCTGACTCTAGAAGAAACTATTTAGTTACCTAACCTTCGTTTTAAGGCAGACAGTGGCGAAGATTTAGATCTCAACTGGGCTGAATCAGTCCTTTAGTCTCTCATTAACCAAACAGTTAACAATTTTCCAGTATGAAAGAGGCAAACATGGTGAACCTAGTTACCTGAAGGATCCTGTAACATCAGGCACAGTGACTATTTACATGAAGACAGTGAATTAGTTGATTTCCAACTCTCACCACTGAGACACAGCTGCATTTCAGAGGTGGTACGACTTGCACCTCCCTTCACAAAGGTTTCTGAATGACCAGCTGTGTGTTAGCGGGGCAGTGCTTCTCCCCCTTTATTTATGTCCTACAGAAATGAAAAAAGTTGTGTATACCACTAAGACATAATGATGCTTTGCATCCCGCCAGCTGAGGAAAGCAAGTAGCTTTAGGTCTGTACCTACATAAGGATGACAAAGCCACACTTACACAAAAGCTGACCTCAGTCCACAGGGAGCTATCGGTATGAGGTGCCTCCCCAGATACCAGCATCTCCTTTAGCTTTCTGGATGCAGCTTTACGCACGCACACACACAAAAAAGCATGCAGCGCAGGAAGTGGCCTTTCACTCTTACTCAATTAAAAATTGCAAGGCTAAGAACATTCTCGGTTCAGGCTTACAGCACCAAAATACTTTGAGGCCGGACCATCCTAACAGGATCAGCTCTTCCCAGACCGAGCCTGCATGCGAACAGCTGCTGGGCTGCAGAAGACTAACTGTGTTCTTTGGTTCAAACTGGCGCAGGAGTGCCAGGATCAGAAAACCAAGCTGAAATGCTGCATACGCTTGGAAAAGCATGGTCCCAAAGCAAATACAGTCTGAGGTGTCTTCAGAAGACAATGAGGAAGGTGGGAAATGCCCTGAAAGTTGCTCAACTCATGCAAAACAGTCTTTCCTCTGGAGTCAGCCAGGGGCTTTCAGAGTACAATCCCTTCCTTCAAATCCAGAAATATCAGAGCGAAACTGTTGGCACGCTAACAGAACAATGCAGGATGAAGTGTCAGGAGTCTGTGGATAACACCTGGCTTTCCACTTCCTTCACGTCGTGCACTGGCAGCTCGCTGCCAACACGCAGCCAGAAATCAATCAGCACCGAGGTAAAGAGCATCTGGCTGTCACTCAGCATTAACTGACACTGTAAGCAGAGAGAGGGGGGAAATTTAATCAAGTCTTCCTCTTCTGTGATACCCAAAGATGTACATGTACATACTACATCAGCCTGTAGCTTTAGGCACTCATTTGGACATCCAGGCTCCTGCCTGCGCTGATCCACTGATTCGAAACCTCCCAACGAGCTTATCGTATCATCTCTCTAGGAACAAAGACGCACACCCCCCCAAAAAAGCTTCAAACGGGTACAAAATGCAGCAGCCCATCTGCTTCACAAAAACGGTTGCCATGAATACATCCCTACTGCTCTGCGCCTGCTATTTTTAAAGATACTTGGGAGGCAACTGAATTCACTGATGGTTGTGCTATTTAAGTATCTGGATTAATACTATTCAAGGAATATACCGGTACTTCTCCGTGGGGAAATACAGCACCTGCCTGGCCTACGCCTGGCTCAGATGCATTTTCAGAAGACCAACTTCTGTAATCCAACAGGAGGGCGATAAACCCACAGACAATAGATGCTTTTCACGCAGAGCACTGTAAACTGAAACGGGTGAGTCTTATCCTCAGAAGCCCCACCAGAGCGTAAGGAGACTTTACAAAGGGAGGGGAAAGGACGAGTGAAAGGAAATCTACAGCTGCAACTTTAGTCACTAAATACCCATGGTTTAACGCAAGGCCTGAGCACAGCAAGTGTAGAAAAAGGGTACCTGCCTGCAAGAAAAAAAAAAACAAAACCAAACCAGAAAACCCAAGAGAGGCAGATCCCCAAAGCCGAATGTGCTGACAGGACCTGGACCTTTTCCAGAGTGCCTTGAATTCCTAAGAGCTTAAGTCTTAATGCATTTCAGACAGGTTCTCCTCCAGCCAGGCTGCTTTGTCCCAGCCTGGGCAGAGGAGGTGTGAGCAGCTCACAGCCCGGGAGGGGGGTGCCAGCCCAGGGTGTGCCCCACCGGACCCACAGCACCAGGCTGCAGCAGGTACCTGCAACCCAGGCTGAAGCGGACTTGGGACCGGGACGGGCTGACGGGAGCTGGCAGTACAGCCTCCCACTTCTGCTCTGCTCACAGGTCAAATTAACCCGGTGCCACCTAGCACCTCATTGGATATATCATATCCCCACCTCTCGCCACAGACGTGCATGAGCTGTCAAGTAAGTCTATTGTAAATAACCCGAAAAAAAATCTGTCTCTGGAGATTCTGATATTCTCATACAACACTCTTCTTTCCACATCATAGGTCACTTAATCGAAAAAAAAGAAAACTGATGTAGTGTGTCCTATGAAGAGCTCCTATACCTACTTCTCCCCCCCGTTTGGAGTTTACAGACTCCAAATGACACGGGACACGTTGTTCAGATCGGTTCTCTGAAAACTCCCGGGCAGAAAAGAGCTACTGGTCTGCTTGATCATAGCTGCATGCCTCCTGTTGCCACAGACGAAGCCCAAATCAATTGCAGAGCAAACACCAGACTTTTTTACGTAAGCAGCTCACATAAGTTGACCTGACAGACATTACAACCTCAAACGCAATCATTTTTGGAAGTGGTTGATTTCAGAGAAACAATCACAGATCCTAAATAATGTACAGACTTCTAACACAACACAGACACAGCATCTCCTTCCCTTTAATCTTTCCCCAGATCCAAAGAGTATCAAAGAGGTCATGGAAATGACTAGAGGAGCATAGAGCAGAGCCAAGGCATGATCTGGGAGCCTCTCCACACGGTAACTCTTCTCCTCACCGTTCCTGGAAATTCATCCCTCCTGAAGTTTCTCTAATTGCAACAGGGGAAAATATTTGGAAAAGGTCAAATGACTCAATACCACTGAGACCTGTAACTTTTCAAGCAGGAATGGGTTCCCATGTGCTTTCAGTTAGAGTACAGACAGGTTAGGGGAAAGGCGGCAAACCCAACAGCCTACTTCCCCTTTGCTCGTTTATAAGCAATCAAGCCCGCTGAGCGTAATGTATGTGTTTGGTTTAAATTACAGATGATTTCGCTGCTGGAACACATCTGCAATGCACTGCGCTGAGCAAACTGCTGAGCCCCAGCCAGCTCAGAAAACAACCCAATGCAACCCAAACGGCTGGCAGCATCGGCAAACCCCAGCGACGGCTCCTAGAAGCTGCTTTCAGGGACAACAAGGAGAGGGAGGTCGACATTTCTCAGCACAGGCTTTTCCTGAGACACCCTCCATTTCAACTCATTTTATTATGACTCCAGGAAGCAGAGGGGTTAATTTCTTTCCAAGTTCACATACTGTTTGAATTCCTTAGATAAGCTGCTTCCACCAAACCCAAGGATCTAGCCTCAGGGGAGAACACTGTAAGGAAAAGCTCTTTTGATAGATTTTCTTCAAAAGAGAAATTAATTCAAAGTCCATTTTTGGAGGTGTTCCACGCCCACAGCTTCTACAGACTTCAGATGAGGTTGCACTGTGCCTCTGGAAGAAAAACCAAGCTTTGAGCAATGCCCTACCACTTCTATTTGCAAGACAGAAATGTTTTATGCTTGCCCAATAAAATCTTCTCTCCTGAAATGAGAAAGCTCAGTGTGCAGCACCACAAAGAGGAAAACCAGACCAAACCAGGCTTTAGCTCTGGGATAAAGCAGTTAACAGCTAGCACAAACTAATCCTGTACCTTTAAAACTGAGCAGTCACTCAGTAAAGCAAAAAAACAAGTTTTGAAAGCGACTGAAGGCTTCCTTCACATTTTGAGGCAGAAAGAAAGCAAGTCCGGGCTGTTACGGAATTTGCGCTTGCATACTGCTGGTGATGATCTATGTGCATAGTTGGAAACAAAGCAAGTTTTTATTAGCAATTAGTAGCAGGAGTGGGGACAGACCTGTCTGAAGGAGTCAGAGAAATGCCAATACAAGGTTGTTCTGCCATCGTGCAAGATGTGCAGCAGAATGATCCCAATATGACAGATCACATAAAAAAGAAAATACTGCAGCTATAAACTTGGAGATGCAACGGCATCAGTGCAAGGAGATAAACTGTGTCTTTAACACTCACAACTTTGACTCCAGGCAGCAGTTTTCCCCTGCACAGCAATTTGCAATGCAAAGCAAGCTACTTCCACTCTTACCAAGAGCAGTAATTCGGAAGCAAAGGGGGAGAGCAAAGTTGTGAAGGGTTGATTTGCTTAGATACAGTTTTCCACCAAGTTGAGTTTCAAGTTGGGCATGAAAGCAATATAGCACAGGGTCTGAAATAGCGTGTGAGAACTTGGGCAAGGAAGGGGAAAAGAAATAAGAGAGGATTTCATCCACAAACCCCAGCCCCTTTCAGGGCAGCGACCTCCCGCTCCCTCCCCACATCTCTGAAAAATTCAATCCAGCTCTGATCAGCCAACACCACCCAGGTTCAGAGCTCTCCAGCTATGTTCTTCCCCCGCTCTGGAGAATGATGTGGCATGTGGGGCCCTACAGCAGAACTATTAAAATCCCATCAAGGGGTAGGCAAGTGGTAGCCATATGCTAAACCGCTCAAGTGAAGAATAACCGTCTGCAAACAGTTTCTTACCTGGTAGATAAGCTAGCAAAGTCTCCTCCATCTAGCAGCCTGATTTTGCAGAACAGAACCCCATTCACAAAGGGGACAGCAGTCAGCTCTTCTAGAGTGAAACTTGTCTGAAACTTGAATTTCTTCTTCTTCATCAGGAAAGCCATGGGCAAATTCAGCGTGGAAAGCCCAGGAATTCCAAACAAGATCAGGGAGGAGCAGCTCAAAACACACAGACAAGCAGAGGAACGGCACTCGTTCCAGGAGCGCAAGCAGGGAGTAAATTCCAGTTCAGTTACAACGACGGCCCAGCTTCAAATGCACAATCCTCTTCTCTTTGGTGGTCGGATCTGGCTGTGGGATCATCGCCACGGCAGGCTTCAGGTGAGGAGGAAGAGGTCAGATTAAATCTCTGCAACATCTCCAAGGGAAAAGAGGGGGAGAGAAGTCGGTCTCAGCTCCAGACCAGCAGGAGCTGTCCCTGTCAGAGGCTGCAGTGCTCTGTCTTCAGCACAACCCCTCCAGAAAGCATCTCTCCTGGCAAGTCATCTTGAGTCTCCAAAGAAGTCTTAAGTCTGCAGGCTGCACATTCAGAAAGCTTCTAGCTCCTATCTCCTCCTCTTGTGCAACTCCTTGATACAGGTCTTCGGGTCAGCCTTTGGGAGGAAAATGAGTAAATTAGTCCCAGCCAGTCTCGGGCTCCTCCTCCTCCTATAAAACCTGTTTGGATGGGTACAATTCAGTCCAGACTCATACCAGTCTCAAGAGGTATGGCCCCAATTAGCGTGGCCCCAACATCCTCTTTCCCCTTTTTGCCTAGAGCAAGCTTCACTGTTGTCATCCCCCTCATAATTTCTGTTTTGCAAAGCAGCTAATAAAAATCTTTAGAAGCAGTTTACAGAGCAAGATCCATCTAACACGTAGTCTAACAAGAGTAAGCAAAGGCGTCTCAAGAAATGCAAAAATCTGTTTCTTTTCTGTTCTTCCGACCAGCCCTAAGTATTAGCACCTGCATCTTATAAATGGACAAACCAGCACAGAGGAAAAAAAAGCAGTCTGCTCTAGATTACACAGCATAAAAACCGAATCAGGTCATCTGGCTGTCCAATAGTCAGGCCCACCGAGTATGCTGCCTTCCCCCAGCACCAGGTCCACACCAAGCTGTGCCCTGCACAGCTCAGTTTTGGGGCTGGAGACGGTCATTTCATTACACATTTACGCAACACCTAAACCAGGGAGGCCAAGACCTGATTAGCATCTAAAAGGGACGAGGTTATGAACACCAGGCAGTAAACAATCCGCACCGATACTAGGAATTAATGACTGCAAACCAACGCAGGCAAAGCTCCTGCTGACTGCACGGGTGTGCAGTTAAAGCCCCTCTCCCGCTTGGGCGGGAGCGGGCGAATCCAGCCAGCTCTGCCCGCTGCGCCGGGGCCCGGGCACCTCCACAGAGGCACCGCTCTCCTGTGGCCGCCTCTGAGCCGAGTGAGGGGGCAGACTGGTGACTGCTCCACACCACCAGCTCCCTCCACGAGCCATACCTGCCCCCTCTGCCCCTGCACCAAGCTGCAGCTAGGTCTCAGCCTGCCTTCCAGCCCCCTGGACCGTGCACTGAGATGCAGACAGGTCTCAGCCCACCTCTGGGCCCCGTGGACCACACACTGGGCTGCAGTGAGGTCACAGCCCGTCCCCTGGCACCTGTGGGCCATGCACTAAGCTGTAGTCAGGTCTCAGCTCGCTTTCTGAGCCATGCACTGAACAGTGGCCAGGTCTCAGCCTGCCTCCCGACCCCGTGAACCACAGAGTGAACTGCAGTCAGGTCTCAGCCCCTCTCCCAGCCCCAGGGGCCATGCACCGGGCTGTGGCCGGGCCGCAGCCCGCCTCTGGCCCCATGCACCATGCACCGAGCTCCGGCCAGGTCTCAGCCCCCCTCCCAGCCCCAAAACAACGAGCCGACATGCGGGAGGTCTCAGCCCAGTTCCCGGCCCCCTCCACCGACCTGCGGCCCGATGCCGGCCCGGTCCCTGCCCGGCCCTGCTCGCACCTCCTGCCCCCTCCTCACACGGCCGCCACAGCCACCGCC